CCTCCCTGCCCCCTGTTACCTAAAATGTTGGTGGGGTACTCCCACTCTATGAAGCATTAGTGCTCTGAGGAGCATTAATCAGCTGCAGGAGCATTAATCTGCTCCTCAGCCCCCAACTGGAGAGGAAGATCCATCCTTAAAGGCTACCATGGCAGTTCCCTGGTGCCAATAATTACATTGGGAGTAGTTGCCACTGCTGAAAATGCATGCAGTCCCAGCCATCAAGAAGCTACAGTCTGTTAAGAAGTGAGTACAGTGGTTTAACAACAGAGGAAACATTGGAGGTCGCAGAAAGTGGTGGAAGGGTGGCTGGATGAGGGAAGAGGCATTTGGGATGGAGGAGGGCAGCGAGATGGAGCAGGAGTGCCCAGTTTCAAAACAGGTGCTGGATTGCAAGAAAGTGGCAGTGAAGGAGGCACCTAACTTTTGCTGCCTAGGAAAAGCTACCTTGCCAGACCTTATCCATATCTTCATTCCCCTGACCGTGTCCTCCTCCGTTCCACGTCAGCCACCTCCTACCAGTCACAATTTTGCAACAGCCACATTAAGTGACCCTAAGTAGGAATTAATTTGTCACTCAAAGGCCTCAATTGGGATAAAGACTGATGGGTCACCCTAGATCTCATCCACTGACCATAAAATCACAGACCCATAGGTAGTAGAAAAGTCACCCACAGAATTTTGCAGGCTGCCCATTTATAAGTACACCAATGCCTTAGCCAAAAAAGTCTGCCCATGAAAACCAATGGCTAATTTAAATATTTTTCCCCAGGAAGATAGATGGAACATACATGTGGTGCAATTTAATGTCACATTTACGTTACATTTGCTTGATCATTTTTATTTTTAATATCACTTCCTTTAATTTCACTTTTTATTCTGTCTATTCTTCTCACTTGCAATCTACTTACCTCCAATCATTGTCATCATTCTGTTCTACTTCCATCTTGTCGCTACTGCTCATTATTAACCTCATCACTGCTAATTGCTACAGTCTAAGGAGGTAACCACAACTTGCAGCATGTGCTGTTATTATTATGTGTTGTGTTCTGAACTCAGTAGTCATTGTTTTGTACTGTGCTGTGTTGTGTGTATTTAACATTGTGCTGGATGTGAATTGTGTTGTTAGACCAGACCCTGGGCGAGGTTCCACAATGTGTTATGATTCGAAAGGGATATCCGAAATCATTAAGCCCCCAGGTGAGGAAGGATGAACTGGCTCCCCTTGGTTGTTTGCCCACCCCTTTGTCTACAGCAAGATTTTTTTTTGTAAATCCCTGCCATTGTGGATACCTCTTTCTCCCAGAGCAAAATGAGATTATGTTTTAAAAGGAGCCAATTTAATCGGGATTCCTTGAATTAACAAAAAGAGTGAATTTATTAATTACTAACTGTGATAACAGATGATAATGCAGCAAATATACACACAGAAGAAATAAGAGGTGAGTCCAAAAAGATAAAAATAAAAAATAGATCAGTCTTTGAATTGTTTGTGAAGAACAGTATGAAGATGTTATGGTTATTATTGGACAGTACTAATGGCAGTGGCATTGAGAGTAGAGCATTTGATCTCCAGGTTCTTGTAGGTTGATTGAAGTTTGTTGGTTCTGATTTCTTTTGAACTGGCCGGCAGCACCAAGTGAGAGAAAATCTTTGTTCTTTGTTTTACCTGCAGTGCCTTTCTAAAAGCTGTTGTCTTTACAGCACTCTAGTGCACACAGTCGGTGTGTAACACATGCAGACCAGTATTGCAGTCAATTTTAATCCCATGTTTTGTATATTTTCAAAGGATAAAAGCAGACATAAAATATAGACATAAAAAGCAGATAAACTATGTAAAAGATGGCTTAATGCTGAGGGGGTAGGGGTAGTCAGCCACCTTATTATCTCTTCTTATTAAGTCTCTCCATGTTTGAAGTTTGCCTGACTCTGTACAGCTGCAACATTCCATTAGTTCCACACTGGACTTACAGGATTTTGCAAGTCACTGAATTTGAATCCACTCTTTTTCTTTCTCTGTAGCAGTTATTTTTAAATACATTTTGGAATTAAAAGTTACAAAAAATACTTTGGGGAGCTGATCCCATTATCTTAATAATTTCTAATGCATACATGTGGTTTTGCACATCTGTAGTTCAAGACGGGAGCAACGTTTCATTAATAAAGACACTACAACAGGTCACCGGGATTTTGTTTACTTAAGGAACGAGAAATTAAAGTTGCACATTTTTGTATGTAACTCAACATTGTAAGCTATTCTTGTTCCTGGACAAAGTTGTATTGTAATAAAGGACTTCTACAGAAAATGTCAATATTTTCTTTTTCTTCCTTTTGTGCAGGTTTGGTGTAAGTAAACTTGTTGGGCCAAGAGGTCATTTCTGGGTTTTAGAAAATAATCATGTGCTTTATTAGCTGATGTGGCATTTTGCAATCTAATACATCTGAATCATATATCTCACCTGAGAATTTTTCAGTAGAAAGCGGAACCTTTCCATTAAGGAATTTCACCCCCTATTTAATCACAGATACTGCATGAACTGGAAGTATTCCATCTCACAAAAAGTGCTGCCTGACATCTTCTGACTAGCATTTTCTGTGAAATGTATAAGATTGCATTATTACTTTTGAACATTTTCACATCTCTTAGACTTGTCATAAGTTAAATTAGGCATAATTTTATGTAATTCATTGATATGATAACTATTTATTACTATTAGGGTTGATGTAAACTTTTATGCTCTATGTGTCAATTGTTGTTCTTGTAGTTATTCCTTTTTATTAATATTTGATCATCTGCTTATGACAGCTATTTCAATCTGCAGCACATAGTCTGCTCCTCATGACAACTGTGGCAATGCCAGTCTTTAGCAGAAAGAATGAAACTGTGAGTACTTGTATTCATCTTCTGTCTCTGCTCAATCTCTGTTTGCATATGATATACATTATTGAACATCAGATAATACAAGTACAAACTGGTTAAAACATCTTTGGGGTGAAATTTGTATTGAAAGTTACAGGAAAGACACAGATTGAGACGCACATTCTGTATGGGATACAATTCCTGTGTTTTGATCCAGAAGAAGGCAAGTCTTAACATGAGTATTGATACTGATGATGCACTCATGGAATTGACAGCAATGTGAACCTGTTGGATTCATAAAATATACTGAGTCTTCCAAGCAGCCATATTTGACAAGTCCACTTTTTGCATTGTGGTATTTATGCATTACTAAAGTTCACAATAGGATATTCTTATGTGCAATTTATGGAAAAAGAATCTAAAAAGACAAAAAAAATGGCAATGAACCTGATTTTTTTTTTTCAGGAATGGCAAACTGATGCAGTTTGCCACTCTACCCCTTTTTTCAGAGTTGTGGAACCAGACATCTTTCATAGCTCAGAAATTTCGGGGGAAGGCAAACCACGTCCCCTTTTCACAGCAGCCAGTTGCCATATTCTGATATTTAAAGGTCTAGGCAGTCACTTTTAAGCTGATATCAAGTAGTAAGTACATAAGGTAAGAGCAAGGGAGGTTACTGTGCTGGATGGGTAGAAGAATAAGGTGTCAGGTAGATAAGGAATAGAATGCCGGGGTATGATGCCAGATGGATAGGATGTAGGGTGCAAAGTGGGTGGTGTGCCAGGTAGTAGGGTGCCAGATGGGTAAGATCCCTGCTAGAGGGTGGGGGGCAGGATTAAAAATGGCTGCCAAGTAAGTAGAGTGCTGACTGGGTTGGGATGGGACTGGATGCCAGGGATTTGGGTGGCAGATACGTAAGATATCAAATGGGATGTGGGTAGGGTGTCAATGTGTAGGATATAAGGGTGAAAGGAAGCAAGGGTCAGGTAACTGGTGCACTGCTTAGGGTAGCTTGGGTGATAGAGATAGGGTCTGGCAGGATAGAGATAATTGTCAAGTCTGGGGTCGGGGCAGGAGGGGAGTTTGGTAGGAAGGTAGTGTGGCAGGGGTTGGCATTGGGTCTGGTGATGGTCAAAGGGGGTTTGAGTGTAGAGCAGGGAATGTATTTGGCTGTGGAGTGAAGTAAGGTTCGGGTATGGAAAATCGTTGGCCTTTTTCCACTGGTACATGTAGGCAGAATAAGGTCTAAAGATCTTGTCCTGACCCAGGCAGAAGGCAGACCATATGTATAAGCTAGAAGGATATATGAACAGGTACATTGTTTCACAACCAACAAGCTTGGGACTAAGTCTGTGGCACAATTCACATTTTGTTGTTTGATTGCACTGCAGAGGATGCAGAAGAGATTTACCAGCACATTTCCTGGGCTGGAGAGGTTTAGTCATAGACTCACATAGCTTAGAAACAGATTCTTTGGTCCAACTCGTTCATGCCAACCAGACATCCCAACCTGACCTAGTTCCATTTGCCACTATTTGGCCCATATTCCTCTAAACCCTTCCTATTTAGATACCCATCAAGATGTTTTAAATGTTGTAATTGTTCTCACCTCCAGCATTTCTTCTGGCAGCTCATTCCATACACACACCACTGCCGGTGTGAAAAAGTTACCCCTTGGGTCCTTTTTAAATCTTTCCCCTCTCACCTTAAACCTGTGCCCTCTAGCTTTGGACTCACCCACCCTAGGAACAAGACATTGGACATTCAACCTACCCATGCCCTTCATGATTTTATAAACCTTTATAAGGTCACACCTCAGCCTACAACGCCCCAGCTTATTCAATCTCTCCCTATAACACAAACATTCAAATCCAGGCAACATCCTTCTAAACCTTTTCTGCACCCTCTCAAGTTTAACAACATCCTTCCTATAACAGGGAGACCAGAATTGAATACAGTATTCCAAACATGGCTACAACATGACGTCCCAACTCCTATAATCAATGCACTGAACAATGAAGGCAAGCCACCATGTCGACTTGTGACTCCACTTTCAAGAAACTATGCACCAGCAGCCTAGGTCTCTCAGTTTGGCAAAACTCCCCAAGGCCTTACCATTAAATGTATAAGTCATACCCTGGTTTGCCTTACCAAAATGCAACACCGCACATTTATTCACTCCTTGGCCCATTGGCCCATCTGATCAAGATCACGTTTTGCTCAGAGATGATCTTCTTCACTGTTCACTACACCACCTATTTTGGTGTCATCTGCAAACTTAGTAACCGTGCCTCTTACCTTGCCACTTACTTTTTCTGTCATCTACAAACTTGGCTATAGCTCATTCATTTTCCTCATTAAGTTGTTAATATTCATTGTAAATAATCGTTGCCCCAGCACTGATCCATGTAGCACTCCACTAGTTCTTGGTTGCCATTCTGTTGAAATGATATGACCATCGGTTGCAGATAGTAAGTGTAGTGATGGAGACAAGATCACCAAGAGGAAAGTGAAGAGGAAGCCATAAGATCAGATGATTGCATGCAATGTTGAAAGACCTTTAGTGTAGCTGGATTGGAAAAATCATGAGTGATTGACAGAAGGAAGTTGGAGAAGGATAATAAACCAGCATGTGTGGTAACTGCAATTAAAATGGAAAAAGCTGAGAGAATGTGAAAAAGATGAAGTAGCCAGGATTTAGCAACTCTAGGGAAGAGATTTTAGGTTTTGCAGGCATAGGGTGTTGCAATTCAAATAGGCTCCAAATACAATTTTCTCAGTCTCAGCCTGCATAGGTGAGCTTACATTATTCTCTGTAATCTCAACCTTTAAACTGAAATGATGTTTGTATTACTGTAAATATAATCCTAGTATACAAATATCAGGAGGCTATGGTAAGCCTATTTAAATTCAGGGTACTACACTTTAGGAAGGCCATGGAAGGTTTGGAGAGAGTTTACTGGAATGGTTCTAGTGGTGAATGGACAAGCAGGGATTGTTCTCCAATCTGAGAAGATTAAACAGGAAATTGATAGAGTGGTTCAAAATTATGGAGCTTTTAAAAAGAATGAAATTAGAGTAATCTATTCCCAATTCATCAAGAACCATCAACAAAGAAATAATGTGACTGGCAAAAGATCCAGAGGTGAAATGAGGGAAAACCTTTTGCAACACAAGCATCATTACGATATAGATTGCACCACCTGGTATGATGGATATAGATTCAATATTAGCCTTTCAGAGGGAATTAGAGTTGTAGAGATCTACAGCACCCTTGACGCATTGAGTCTCTGCCTGTGAAGAACAACCAGCTAACTATTCGAATCCCATTTTCTAGCCCTTGGGCCATTACCTTGTATGCTTTGGCATCACAAGTGTACATCAAAATACTTCTTAAATGTCATGAGGGTTTCTGTCTATACCAACTTTACAGGCAGTGAGTTCTAGTCTCCCAGTTTAGAGGGATATGGGCAAAATGCTGGCAAATGGAACTAGGTTAGATTGGGATGACTGGTCAGCGCGGATGAGTTGAACTGAAGGGTCTGTTTCCGTGCTGTATGACTCTTTGACTAAGTGGTCAGGATTACAGAGTCTACAGGGAGATATAGTTATAGTTAAGTGAGGAGGCAAAAACTTGGTCGATGGAATATAATGTGGAAAAATGTGAGGTTATACATTTTGGCAGGAGGAATAGAAGAGGTGAATATTATTTAAATGAAGAGAAACTGCAGAAAGCCACAGAACAGAGGAATTTGGAAGTCCTCATACATGAATCACAGGAAGCTACAATCCAAGTATGGAAGACAAATGGAACATTGGCTTTTATTTCAAAGGAAAATGGAATATAAAAGTAGGAAGGTCTTGCTAAAGCTATGCAAGGCATTTGTCAGACTACAATACTATGAACAATTCTGGACCCTTATCTAAGGAAAGATCTACTGGTTTTGGAGGCAGACAAGAGAAGTTTCACTTGGGTAATACCAGTTATAGAGGTTCATCTTATGGGAAGCAGTGAATCTATAGAATTCTTTACCGTGGAGGGTTGTAGAGGCTGGGTCATTAAGTATATTCAAGGATGAGAGAGAGAGACGGATTTTTAATCAGAAAGGAATCATGGGTTGTAGGGAAAAGGCAGGAAGATGCAACCAATGGTTATCAGATCAGCCATGATCTAATTGATTGGTGAAGTAGATTTGATGGACTGAATGGCCATTTCTGCTCCTACATATAATGGTCTTGTGGTCTATTCTCTTCTCAGCTATTTCCTTCGATGCTCCCACAACCTTCAATCACCCCTATGTACTGGTTCCTAATCTTCTTCTTTCTCGCCACTCCATACATCCATTTCAGCATCCAACTCTCATTAGTATCCAGTCATTGCTCCACTGTTCTTGATGTTATTCAGGTTTCTGCACAATATAACAAGGCTGGCTTGTAGATGCTTGGTTTTAGTTTCTGCAATCTCACTACACTCTGCTGCATTTCTTCTAATCATTCTAGTTAGCACTAAATTGGCCTGATTTCATTGCTGCCACACTTCAGATGTTCCCCGGTGCTGTCAGCTCTGAGATTAGTTTCATACATGCAGGTTGTCTCAGAGCATTCACATTCCACCAAGTGTTTCAGATACAACCTTGCCTTGTTTTCTGCTCAAGGTCGGATGCTTCCTTAGTGCTTCCAGGTCACTACTAATACATTACTAATGACCCCAAGCTACAATTTCTTCACATCTACCCCAAAAATTACAGGTCACAGTCTCTTCACTGGTTTTTGAATCTGATTTCACTAAGTGCACATGGATCCCTTCTCTAAGTTGGCAATCACCCAGATTTAGACATTGTGAATCAATTTCCATCCCATTATGAAGTGTTCAAGCTCAATCCGATGACTCCATTTATAGTAGCAGCAACATGGAACAAACTGGGTAGTGTTGAACTTCAGACTATTTTTTATTGTGACTGAACCTGCCCTTTCACACTCTATTTCCCTAGAGAGCACATGGTATCCTTCTTGGGGTTGTAGGAACAGATGTTCCACTGAAAGAGCTGTTAAAGTTAGCTCCGAGGTATAAGGTACGTTCTAAAATGCATTTAAATTTTTCATCAGTGATGTTAAGTTGCTATGCTTGTTTGGAATTTGAATCAGAAGAATAGCTGCAAATTATTTGGAGATAAACCACAGCATCTTAACAGTTAACATATCACACCATTTTTCAATGCCAGTCAGGCAAAAGGAACGATATTAAATGTGCCAACTCAGCAGTAAATAAATGCAACCAGTGTTCCAATGTGTTGTACTTTTCTGGAGCCTTTCAAATCATATGTTCTTTTATATTCCTGCAATTCTCATAATGCATTTTGTTGACAAGAAACTGAGTTGTCACTGAGCATATACACTATCCTCTGCTTTTATGCTCTAATTGATTTAGTTGTCTTTTGAATATTCAATCATTCACAGAACGCTGATTCACTAATACTTTCTCTACTGCCGTAAGGGCTAAAAGTATTTAATAATATATTTAATAAGGGACACTTTCAGCCAGCAAACAACTTGGAGCCCAGCCTGTCAAAATGTGAGCATACATTTGCTGCAAAGGTTTGATTTGCACCATGAAATCTTGAAAAGCTATCCAATGCATAATAGTTTAGGGTAGCATTATCTTGCTAGATTCCTTTAATTGTTCTATTTCTTCCACATCTCTTCCCAAGTAGGTACTGGTTGAGCCCAGTCACTTCTTCCTGGCAAACATTGACCACTGCTTTATGATGGAGATGGTTGCTTTGGACACCAGATAGGGCAAATTGTCTCAGGGTCAGGATAGCACTGCTCTGATATTGACCAACAGATACTATTTCATGCTATGTTTTGATTGATATCCTTTTGTTCTCTCCTATTATTTGTTTCCCAGCAGGCTTTCAGAAGGTTGAAGATATTTACAATCTTTCTTGAGCCTTTAAAATCTTCACTTTTTTAACTGCACAAATTTTAGACTTTCAGTTTTCAGCATCAGAGTATGGAATTTTAAATGTAAAACAAATAAGTTTTTTCTATCTGTAAATCTCTCTTAGGAGACAGAACCAGGTCCATTGGCTCAAATTATGGTAGCTGTCATTATATAAAGTATCCACCATTCTAAATATCTTACCATCAACCTGACTGAAATATTCTATGGTAAACAATATGCCTTCATAGTCCTGAAGAAACACTCATATATTTTACAAGTTGTGGATTATTATTCAAAAATTAGGAAATCTAAAGCATTTATGTTACTTAGGTTTACAAGAGATCAACCAGATCTAGTTTCCTCAAATGCATCACAGTCAATTTTCCCTTCCCAGAATCACTTCCCCCTTCACTCCTACTAGTTAGCTGAGTTGCTCTTTCTGTTCTATTCAACTATTTTAGAACTCATTTTGTCACTTGCGATTCAATTTCACATACTGGCCCTTAGTTCGTACTGGTACTTTTCAATCTTGCTAGATTTATTTCATTGTTCGCATTATATTTTCATTCAATTCTGCTGCAAGCAACTTCCCTTTCTTGCACCCACAAAACTCAAAAGCACATAACAAAAGAAACATTATCTTGAGCAAATTTTGTTGTGATGTTGCTTTTTAAATTGTTATTCCCTTTAACATATTGCAGCTTGGAGTCCATGGTTATGCATTCCTGAATACCAATAATGGTTACATACTAGCCCATCCTGATCTCCGGCCTTTAGTAAGTAACCTCATCATTTTATATTAAAGCAAACTATTGTATGCAATGACGATAACAGAGAAGGAAAGACTGACTTTCTTGAGAGGGATAGATACCAAATGTTATTCAACAGTCTGTATTCTCTGGTCATATACTAAAGAATTACGGATAACAAAGGCTGGGAAATAACACGTGGCGACATCTTTTTAAAGACTACAACTGCATTTTAAAGGGGTATATGCATATTGACAATAAATAATTGGATATCTGTTTCAGAATCCACTTAGAGGAAGTCCATCCTTTAGCACTTTCTAAGCTTTCTAATTTGTTCAGAGGTCTTGCTGAATTGGAGATTAATCTCCTACACACTGTTGTGAACAACAAAGAGCAAAATGTCACCTGTTGAGTGACCTGGAGATTTTACTGAGCCAGGCTCAGTGATACTTCCCCGTGAAGTCCATTTTCTCCTGTCTCCAAATTCTGTTAGGCCAGTAAGTTTTGTAATCGAAGTTTTTGAGAAAATTTGTAACTTAGGTTGCGGATGGGGTTGTGGACTTGCTTGCTGAGCTGGTGTGTTTGATTGCAGACATTTTGTCACCCTGCTAGGTAACATCGTCAGTGCACCTCCGCTGATGCATTGGTGTTCTGCTCCACTTGTTATTTATATGCCTGAGTTTGCTGAGGTGGTTGGCATCACATCCGGTTCTGTTTTTCAGTGGTTTATATAATGGATCCAGTTCAATGTGTTTGTTGACAGAGTTCTGGTTGGAATGCCAGGCATCCAGGAATTCCCTGGCCTGTTTCTGTTTGGCTTGTGCTGTAATGGATGTGTTGTCCCAGTTGAATTTGTGTCCTTCTTTGTCCGTGTGTATTGAGACCAGTGAGAATTGGTCATGTCTCTTGGTGACTAGCTGATGTTCGTGTATCCTTATTGTCAATTTTCTTCCAGTTTGGCCTATGTAGTGTTTCTCACAGTCCTTGAATGTTATTTTGTATATTACATTAGTTTTATTGGTTATGGGCATGGGGTCTTTACATTCATCAATAGCTGTAGCAGGGTGGTTGTTGATTTGTGGACTACCCTGATACCTAGGGGTCTGAGTAGTCTTGTGATCATCTCTGAAAGGTCTCTGATGTACAATAGGGTGACTAGTGTGTCTGGCCGTGTTGTGTCCTCTTGTTGTGGTCCGTCATGGAGGTAATGGTGGATTGTGCTTTTTGGGTATCTATTCCTTATAAAAACTCTGTATAAACGCTCCTGTTGTATTTTGCGCAATTCTGGATTGCTGTAGTGTGTTGTGGCTCGATTGAATAATGTCCTGATACAGCTCCATTTATTGGCGTTGGGCTGGTTGCTGGTGTATCTGGTCTGTATCAGTGGTCTTTCTTCTTTCTGTATACTTTGGTCTGGAGTTCCCATTATGTCTAGGAAGGGTAGTCGGTTATTGTTTCTCTTTTTTTTTTGTGGATTTTATTCCAGTGAGGATGTTGTATGTGTGTCGGTGGGTTTCTTCTAGTCTTGTGCATTTGATAATCACGAAGGTGTCATCGACATACTGGACCCAGAATTTGGGTTGTATAGTGGGCTGCGTAGTTCATTCTAACCGTTACATTACTGCTTCTGCAATCAGTCCTGATAGTGGGGATCCCGTTGGTTTCTGTTGATGTGCTTGAATATCCAGCCATTGAAGGTGAAGTGGGTTGTGAGGCACAGATCCAGCAGTTTCAGGGTGCTGTCCTTGTTGATGCTGTTGGTGCCATGGGGTGTCTGCCTTCCTGATTTGTCCAGCAGGATAGCAATTGTCTCTTTGGCTACAGCGATGTTTATGGATGTAAATAGTGCTGTTACATTGAAGGAAATCATTATCTCACCATCTTCTATTCTGGTGTCCTTGATGATGTTGAAGAATTATTAGGAGGAGTGAATGGAGTGGGTAGTGTTGTCTACTAAGTATTTCAGTTTCTATTGTAGTTCTTTGTGTAGTCTATATGTTGGTGTACCTGGTAGTGAGGCAGAATGTCTGAGGGGGACTCCTGGCTTGTGTACCTTAGGGAGGCCAAAGAACGGGGTGTGTTGGATCCCTTAGCTTTACTTTTTGGCAGTCAATCTGTCAAAGCATCCTGTAATCCGGTTCTCGGATTACAACATTCTCCTCTTGACCACCAGCAAAACAATTGAAGATGGTATTGACAGCATTATCAAGCAGCACTTACACAGCACTAGCCTAACCAGTAGGGGTTCCACTAGAGACTCTCAGATCCTGACTTCATTACGAGCATTGTTCAAAACAAGGACAAATGAGCTCAACGCAAGATGTGAGATGAGCATGACTGTCCTTGACATTAAGGTAGCATTTAACCAAATTTAGCACCAAGGAGTGTGAGCAAAATTGAAGTCACTGGGATTTTGGGGGGAACATCTCCACTTGCTAGAGTCATACATAGTTAAAATCATGATGGTTTTGCTTATTGGAGGTCAGTTATCTCTAGACATCTCTGCAGGGGTCCCTGAGGATAGTGTTGTAGGCCCAACCACCTTCAGCTACTTCACCAATGACCTTCCCTCCATTTTTAGGTCAGAAGTGGGGATGTTCACTGATGATAGCTCACTTCTCTGATGCTTAAACCATCTATGTTCATATGCAGCAAGATCTGGACAAAGTTCAGGCTTGTTCTGATAAATAGCAAGGAACATTCCTGCCACACAAGTGCCAAGGAACGATCATCTCCACAAGAGAGAATCTAACTGTCTCTCTTTGACAGTCAATGGCATTACCATCAATGAATTCCCCACCTCATGGGAGTTACCATTGACCATAAACTGACCTGAATTAGCCAAACAAATACGGTGGCTACACAAGCAGATCAAAGACTGGTAATTTCTTCAGTTAGTGAGCTCCTGATTGATGCACAAATCTTAGGCATCAAGAAGGTACAAATCAGGAGTGGGATAGATTACTCTCCACTTGCCTGGATTAGTGCAACTTCAACAACACACAGGTGGCTCTATCATCCAGGACAAAGCATCCTGTTTGATCAATATCCTATCTGTTGTCTTAGACATTCTCTCCCTCCAACATGGTGGAAACACTATGTACTATCTATATGATGTCATGTAGCAATCCACCAAGGCTCCTTCGACAAACAAACCATCCAAATCCATCATCAGTTCCTCCTAGAAGAACAAGGGTTCTCTTGAAATTTCTTTCTATGACATAAAAGCTTGACTTGGAACTATATTGCCATTCCTTCACTGCAATTCTTCCAAAATCTTGGAACTTACTCTTTAACAGCATTGTGGGTGCATCTATACTGTATAGACTGCAGCAATTCAAGAAGACAGCTGCTCACCACCTTCTGAATGGTAATTGGAAATACACAGCAAATGCCAGTGATACTCACAATGTATGAAAAAATGAAGAAAAGCACTGAGCGTCTCCATGACAACCCAAAAGTATGGGGAAGTACTGCAACATAAACAAGCCTTTACTCAAGTTTGGGTGACAGGGTCAGTTACCTGAAACATTAACTCTGTTTCCACTCCAAACCCATCTCACCTACTGAGTATTTCCAGCATTTTCTGTTTTTTCTTTCCTTTGGTTAATATTAGTGAAGAAAAACATAGCTGTGAAGCTGTGATTAGCTCACGTATCACCTCTGAAACACAGACCGTGTGAGAATTCAAACCTTTGATGAAGAAAAGCATTTCAATGCAATTTGTTTCCTTTTTGAAATCAGACTATTATCTTAAAGGGCTAAGGTCTCTAACTTGCTAGCCACATGATGGATAGAAGTGCAAAATTTCTAACAGGCTGAGATTCCTCATCTGTTTAATTGTAGCCAAACTATCTCTTTCAATGGTCTCCTTTCCTCCTCTACGTTACCTCTGGTGTCTGCCAGTAGTTCTCTTTGGCCTTCTCCTGTTTCTTCATGCTGCCCTCCCTGGCATTATTCAAAGTCATAGTGTCAGTTTTCACATTCAAATGACATCCAGCTCTATCTGACAACCATCTGTCTTGGCTCCTCTGCTACTGATAAATTATCAGATTACTTGCCCAACATCCAGTAATGGAGATGCATGCATTTCATCCAGTTGAACTTTGGAGAGTCTAAAACAATAGTTTTTAGTCGCTGCTTCCACTTCCATTTCCTAGCTATCTCTTCAGTCTCTGTCTAAGGTAACTGTTTGATACTAAGCCAGTCTGTTTACAAACTTGTTTAATCCTGAAATGAACTTCTGACCGTCTATTCGAGACATCACTAAAATTGCCTTTTCTCCCCTCTGTAACAAAGTCAGAAGTCACACAACACCAGGTTATAGTCCAACAGGTTTATTTGAAATCTCAAGCTTTTGGAGTGCTCCTCCTTCATCAGGTGAAGTCATTTTTGTCCCCCCCAGTCCAACACTGGCACCTGCACATCTTGGCTCCTCTGTAACATCACCTTACTTCAATCCTATTTCAGCTCTTCTATTGCTGAAATCTTCACCATGCCTTTGTTATCCCAACACCATCTGACCATCTTTGTATTCTGCGGTGTCTAAACTTGAGCTCATCCAAAACTCTGTTGTCCATGTCCTTACTCTCACGTCTTGTTCAGCTATCATCCCTGGACTCACTGATCTCTATGGTTTTTGCTGTATTGTTTCTTTATAGATTTAAGAAAAGCTGAAGGATAGGAATAAAGGTTGGATACAGAACTTTAATGGAGACTTCTGTTGTTTCAGCTTCCACATGCCAATCGACTGTGTAAGAGAAAAGGAACGTGATATTGCATCATTTTCTGGGTTACATAATGTGTGCTTGGGCATATATTTAAGTGATTATTTTAACAAATTAATGCTACACCATTACAACATTTCCTTCTCTTAAATAATAACTCAATTTAGAATTAAATTGATATATTTTTATGAATAAGCAACACTTACGGAACTTGAGATTTGCCAACAGTAATATAATGTATGTATAATAATGCACTTTACGAAGAACATTTGGAACATTCCTCTTCAAGCAAATTTCTATGTTTTGAACCAGAGTTGTCATTGGCAAAATTAAGCAGATCACAAGACTGTGACATGTCGGTGTGTTCTCAAACTGTCCAGCTCTCCTCCTTCTGAAGTTTGTCGATGGTAGAGTAGTCTTTGATGCTTTTGTTCCTTGTTGTCTTTGTCTGCAAGATGTACACAGGTCCATACTGGCATTGCAATTTGCTACAGACTTTGCAATGGATGCAGTGATTGGGCAGACGTGCTGGACTTAGCAGTGATGATCAGATCCCATGAACTAATGAATAAAAAAGACATGGTTTATACAGTAGAGCTGTCAGCCATGTCTTCAGCAGAGTTATCCCACACACCTGTACTTGCATGGTGGCTCAGTGGTTAGCACTGCTGCCTTACAGCGCCAGGGACCTGGGTTTGATTCCACCCTTGGGCGACTGACTGTGCGGAGTTTGCACATTCTCCTCATGTCTGCATGGATTTCTTCCAGGTGCTCTGGATTCCTCCCACAGTCCAAACATGTGCAGGCTAGGTGGATTGGCCATGCTAAATTATCCCGTAGTATTCAAGGATGTGTAGATTAGATGGGTTATAGGGGGAGGGTCTGGGTGGGATGCTCTGAGGGTTGGTGTGGATGTGTTGGGCCAAAGGGCCTGTTTCCACAGTGTAGGGATTCTATAAGAATGCCTTTCCGTTTGTCAAGCTGGCTGATTACAGCTGGTATAGTGGAAAATGAAGGCATTATCACTTCAGGGCATTGACATGAACAATTTGTTGTGCAATGTCGTGCAACAGCTGGCTGTTGAGAGAGTTGAGACTGTTCTGGTTCCGGTATAAAAGTGAAATGGCATGTGGTACCTTCAAGTTCTCTGGCAACCAGCATTATGGTGAAGTCTGCAATACTCAAGATACCAGATGCTTTTCTACCTGATTATGTCTGGCAAAAATAACATGTAATTAATTCTCTTTGAAAAGCCTCACGACCTTCTTTACATAACAGTGGATGGCGAATTGTGACATGTTGCAAAAATCTCCAGCTTTAGCCTGGAAGAAGTCCATAGCAGATAATTCATCATATACTCAGGCAAATAAAGTTGTTGTCCTATTCTGAGGTGTGCTTTTGGCAGTAGCACTGAGTGTCTTTGAATGGGGCACAGCAAACCTTACCAGCCTGCTATCAGGTTTACTTATCAGGCTCCTTTCATGGTGACTCCCCAGCCCCTAATTGTTGAATACTAGTGGCAACATGGTAATAAGGCTCTTAAGTGGGCCTCAGCTAGCATCTATTTGAGAAGGCTTTCTAGAGGTCTTTCCTCCTTGTACTTAACCAGCAGAAACAGAAAGTGTGTGCCCATCTACATCCTCCCTCCTAAATGAATGCCCTTGGCTCCAAATCTGCCAATGGGTGTGGCATTAAATTCTTCTCATTGTTACTTTCTAAAGTTTAGGTGGAAGGATTCCATCTTAACACACTTTGGGGATAAACCCTCCTGCTGAGAGTCCTTACTGCTTTCCTCCTCACTCTTCCAGCAACTTGTTGTGGTTTGCGAGATCTCTATTTATTCTCCATAATTCTATGTTGCAAGAGAAATTCCAATTTGTACACCCATGCCGGGATGCAAATGGTTTGTGCAAAAGTCTTTATATTGCCAAAAAAATCTGCTTCAGCACCTGTTACACCATGTGCTGTAGACTTTTACAGTGTGAAACAGCTACAAAAAGTATTGAAAATTTCACAGGTGTCCAACCAACTGATTGATGCTTTTTCAGTTGTGCAAGTCTAAGAGTGTAGTAGCTAGATCTTTGCCATTAAAATAGCATTTTAGAGTGTGCTTTGGAAGTATGAGGTACTGTTGTAATTTGGGGATTTGGATTTTAAAGGTAAAACTAGAATTGGGGTTTCAGTTCTGTGAAGCTAGCTTTGTTTGATGTCAGAAAGTCATTTGGAACAGGGAATAAAGACATAGTTCCTAAATAAGACATGATTTAAGTCAAGTACCGAGCAAGATACCTGTGATTTAAATGATAAAACATTTATAAAATTGAACTAGCACAACATGTAGAGAAAACAGATCAGAGGCCATTTGATTTTTTAATTCAATTCAGGAGAAAAGTTTTACCTTAGCATAAGGGTTTAGTTTATAAAGTCTCCATGTTTATATAAAAGTTTTCAAACTGCCAGAAATTAAGAGGTTTAAGTAATCAGAATTGGAAAGAAGTCTCTAAGCCTAAAAACTGGAAAGAGACAGTTCAATAAGAGAGTAAGAGTTAAGATTGGAAAAACACTTCACTGGCATTGAGCAGCTATAAAGGATATTACTGGGAAACAAATTGAACTTTGTTTTGCTTTGTTTTGTTTTTATGTTAAAATCCTTCTAAACTGTCTTATGTTTTGTTTCTTTTTCTTTTGCGCAATAAACTTGTTCACTTTTTAAATTAAAAACTTTAGCAGCATTGTGTAGATGTTTTGAATGACGAACCACCGTAGTAACTATCTGCCGTAATTAAAATTATGATCTATCAGGGTAGGTTTCACTCTCGGATCTGATTTGTCCAGTATCACCATCAAGTGGGGTTGTCACAACAGTTGCATCAACATTGCATACTGACATTATGACATGCTTACCTTGCATCCTTCTGATGACTGTGTCCAACGCATTTCATCCCCATAAATATGCACTGGCACAGTAGGGGCTATTTTGGAGTATATGGCCACTTACATCCCAAAATAGATACTAACAGAAAGGCTGAACTCCTTGTCAGTATTGTTCTGTAATCTACCATTAGGAGATTTACAAAACTGGCTTTGATCTTTTTTTTTCTTGTTCCCGTTGGGGAATGTCTGATCTTCGCTTACCTCTTCCTTTCCCCATCCAGAAACCAAATGACAAGAACTTAGTACGAAATGGAATTGCTAGAGGAAAACTGTGTAATATTGTGGCAAAATGCATTTGAATTCCAATATAATGTGCCATGTATCTTGTATAAATTTGTCTGTTCTAGTATAAACTTGTCTCTAAATGTATGAGAATTCATTCTTGTTAATTGCAGTACAAAGATGGAAAGAAAACAAAGCCAAAACCAAATTACAACAGTGTGGACATTTCAGAGGTGGAGTGGGAAGACACCTATGAAGTTGTGAGTAATTTTATTTTTATTTTTCTTTCTTCCACCTCTTCAAGTGTCTTTTCCCTTGCTTCAAGTATCTATTAATGAAGCCTTACATCCAGGGATTTGTTACTTTCAGAGACATTTATTCTAATTTTCTCATTACTAGGCTCCTATATTCCACCCTCCAAAAATTGTGCTGCTTGTATTCTAACCTATAATTGTCTTACTCTCACAGCACATACTTGCTTTTTGACCTGCATTGGCTCCTACTCCATCAATGCTTCAAATTTAAATTCTCATTCTCTTGTTTGAGTGCCTCAGTGATCTTTCCCCTTCCAAACTTTGTTATCTCATCCAGTATAATAGACCTCCATGAACTCTGCACCCTTACAACTCAGAGATCTTCTGCAGCCCACATGTTTTCTCCCCACCACTGGTAGTTCTGCTTTCAGACATCTAGACTCTATGCCATTAATTCCCTCCTTAAACATTTCTGTGTTTCCACTTTTTGCTGCTCATTTAAGAACCGCTTTAAAATTTATCTTCACAACCAAGCTGCAAGACATCTGTTCTAATGTCTTTTTCATGGAAACATTGGAACATAGGAGCAGGGATTGGCCATTCAGCCCCTTCAGCTTGTTCCAATATTCAATGAGTTCATGATTGATTAGTGGCTTAACTCCACATACGTGTGTTTGACTTTGTGTCAAATTCTAGCCTTCTTGTACTTCTGTAAAATGCTTTGGGATGTTAAAAAGCTGTCCTTCGTTTTAAATAACATTTTCAATTGTGTATTATAGGAACAGAAAAAAGTTAAATTGAATATCACATGCTGCTAGATAACCTTCTCCCCACCATCATCAAAAGTCTAAATATCTCACAGTATTGCCAATGCCATTCTGTTTTCAGAACACTGCTATTGTGCATTCGACTCAGCTTTTGAATTTATTTACTAAACTTCCTAACCCTTAAATCTCACTGCACACTTCAGTGCATTTTCATTGTCATTTGTATTCTTTGGGAAAGCATTTGCAAACATCAGACCTTTAAAGGCATTTTACTCAGTGTCACATTTTCTTCCCTACACAAAATTGACATGTTTATATCATTAATAAGGTCATAGAGCTGAATCTCACATTTTTTGACTAAGTGTCAGTTGCATCAAGTTTATTGAAGGGATTTCCACCATGAGGCTTATGGATTTCTCGTATTTTACCAAGCTCATCCCGTTAAAGGAGCCCAGTCAGGGTGACGTAGTAGCCCAATGGTTACTACTGCTGCCTCACAGTGCCAGGGACCCAGATTCAATTTCAGCCTTGGGAAACTGTCTGTTTGGAGTTTGCACATTCTCCCTGTGTCTGCATGTGTTTTCTCCTGGGTACTGCAGTTTCCTGCCACAGTCCAAACATGGCAGGTTAGATGGATTGATGATGCTAAATTGCCCTTGGTGTCCAGGAAAGTGTAGATTAGATGGATTAGCCATGGGAAATGCAGGGTTATAGGGATAGGATGGGTTTGGCTGGGATGCCCTTCAGAGGGCTGATGTGGACTCGATGGGCTGAATGGCCTGTTTCCACACTGTAGGGATTCTATTGATGATTCTATGATTAACCACCTACCATTAACTACCTACCACACCCCTGTGATGTGTCTCCCATCCGATTTTGATCCAGATGTTCTGGAAAAACTCATCGCTCAGCAAATATGCCAGGGTTCATTGACAACCCTTGTGCTTGTGCCATCTTTTAAAGTTCATTGTACACCTAGACAAACATAGTCTGGAACTGTCCAATACGATCCCTGATTTGCCCCAGACATGGCAGACAGGGGTAATTCAGTGCCCTGAAGATCTTTTTGTACAATGTGATACAGAGACGGGATTTCCTCCCCTCCCATGACCAGCAGAGGAGGCCAGACAACAGACCATGCCAGCCCCGTCTGAGGTTCCTATCTGGGTCAAAGCAGCCTTGGTCATCTAGAAGAATGCACTGCAATGTAGGAAGAAGATCAATGACCTTCTCCATTCTGCCAGCTGAAGTGCCATCATCTTCTTTCCAATACCTTACACTCACTCCGTCGCTGCGACTGTACCCACCTGCCATCAAAGCTCATGATCTACCACTCTCACTGTTGCCTGAAACATTTTCCTCAATTGCTGTCATCCATACCGACACAACCTGGTCCAGTTCATGAGCTGGATGCGAGTGTCCCTGAGCTCACGTTGTCCTTACAGCAGCATTATAATGATAGTTGAAACAAAACCAGAGGTTTCAGTCCATTTTTCTCTTTACCGATGCTGCCAGACCGGCTGAGTACTTTGCTTTGTGTTTCAGATTTCCAGCATCTACAGTTTTTTGTTGTTATAATAGTTGCTGGCACACCCTAAGATGTTGTATTGAAATGCAGAAGCATCCTATGTGTACTGGAGTTGTGCCATGAGTGTTCTTAAAGATTGGCATATAATCAGGTGCCAATATCCTTGGGTACAGGGTGCATCTGGCAGTGCCTATTTACCGTGTTCTTAGATGTTGCTGCCTTGAGTTCAACATGGAGTTCCTTCAGAGAAAGCAAAGAGCTGAAGTTGTCAGGTACCCATTTAGATTTTCATGTCAAAATCTCACAAGGCCCTAACTGTTTTGGCATGTTTGGTAAGACAGGAAACTGAATATTTAAGAAGCAAACTGGGCTGTAGTAAAGAATTTAATGAGAAATAATCCCCGTTAATTGACCACTTGCCACTGCCTCATGAGAAACTCTCTGTGATGGTTATCAAGAGAATAAAAGATGGAGCAAGATGCTCCTGACATCAGAATTGGCTTTATTGGACCCCCACAAAATTCTGCCACAAATCTTGCCATAATCCATATTGCTGAGCCTCCTACTTCTGTCCATAATGACTCCAGGGTACCCAGCACAGCATTCTTTGAGGCAGAATGATTTGAAATTCCCAAACAAGATCTGTTGCCTTTGTATATTCAAAGTGATTGAGGAGATGATATTTGACTTTTGATACTGTTTTACAGAATGAAACAACACTAAAATAAAATGGTGTTCCTTGGCTTAATGCACAATGTTTTGGTGCATTAATATGGTGAATCATGCAATCCTGATCAGAGAGCTTCCACTTATTGATGATGTCAGCTCATGGACTGTATTTTCCATGGTATTAGAATTTTCTTGACCGTAATACTGAGGGAGAATGTTATCATTGGACAGGGTATTATGTCCCTGTCTGTGATCTGACTCATCAAAATAGTGCTGGAATTAGTCAGAAATTCTGCCACCTGAAATATACAGTGACAGCTAACCTGTGTCTTAACAAAGAGCTCATTGGAAAGGCAGCCACCAATTCTGGTGAACTAAAACCTGTAATAGAAAAACAGCAAACTGACCTCCATGACTGAAATGTTTATTGCAAGGCCTGTACCCTCTGCACATTGCTTTATGGTAGATGACAACTTACATCTAACAAGTAAAAAGGCACAGTAATTTTCACATCCAGTATTCCATATCCCTAGCATCAATGGAAGGACAAAATTACCAAGAAACTATGTCACTCTAAGCAAACATACCAAGCATACTTGTGCTAATCAGCAAAGATTTCACCAGCTTGGATATAAATAATTTTTGAAATTTGGATTTCAAAATAGTGGCAGGTGTTGATTACTCTTGTGAGGTTTATATTTAAAAGAAATGAGGTCAAAGAGCTCTTCTGGAATAGTGACCTAAATCTAGCATTTTTCAGAAAGCAGGTGACTGAGGATCCCAGGGTGTTAATGGGAGTAGGTTTACAGTAATTGGGTTTGGCTAAAAGCAACCAAATCATTGATTTCCATCACTGAGTTTCTTTTTGATTGTATGTGAAACTTGCTTTTAATGGTTCCCCAGAGACACTGACACCTTGTCTCCAACAACAAAATTTTGAACTATGGCCTTCTTCTTTGGTCTAGTCGTCATTCATTGTTGAGCACTCTGCAGATGCTTTTTAGCCAATTTGAAAGTTTTGGTCAATTTCTTTGAAATTTGAAGAATAAGCTGGAAGTGTTTATCAATTTTTTAAAATTAAGTAAATGGTGAATTAAAATTCTCACTTCACAACAATATATTAGTATAAAAGGATTAAAACTTGTAGATTCATTTGGAGCATCCTTAATTGTAACAAAGGAATTCCTTTATCCCAATCATTAACACACATTCTTAAGAATAGGCTGTAACCATAGTCTTCAAAGCAGCACGCTAACTTCTGGAACTTGGGTGATGAGCAGAAAATGTAATTTGTTTTGTCTCCAAGTTGGTCAACATTTCCCTGAATATGTGTGACAAAGAATTTGATTGCTATCTGATTGTATTTCTTTGGGTAATTTCTATTTTCTAAA